AAATATCTTTTAAAAGATCCTCAGGGGACTCTTATAAGCTTCTCTGATTGAGAACTACAGCTGCACTGGAGATGGGGGATTCAAACAAATAAATAACTGTAATGTGAAAAGTGCTGTGGGGTGCAGAGGGAGGAAGGACATTCTGGGGGAGATCCAGGAAGCTACTTGGAGGAGGTGCCATTTGAATTAAGACTTGGAAAATGATAAGATAGATTGGGAAGAGAATCAGAACTAGAAATTAGAGATGAAACTGTAGTAACTGATAGAAGACGAGACAAGGTAAGGGGAAGAGTCTTGGAGGTCATTGGAACTTGTAATGCCAGGGGAGTAGGCAAGGAAGCCCAAGAGAGAGGTGTTCTCCAAGTGTTAGCAGAAGAGCCTGGAGAATTCAATGTCCAAAGATAAAGTAGACAATAAGGCCAAATATTTTGTGGAGAGGTTATAGGAGAATGGGGATGCCGGTGGATATAGTCATGACTGAAAATGTTGGTGGGAACTGCTTCAGTAAAGTGGTAGGTGAGAAAGAAAGACAGATCACCCATGTTGATTAATTGCAGAGGAATTGGCTATAATGACTGTGAAGTCTTTTATGAAGTTTGGAGGTAAAAGGAAGAAGAAAGTAAGTCTGATAAGAAATCTTTTTTTGTCAAAGATTGTTGATCTGAAAATGTTGGTAATATTTGGAAGCGGAGCCAACAGAGATTAATGTTCAATGAGAAGGACAAAGAATAGAGCAAGTTCCTGGAGGAGATGGGTCAGAAAACAGGAATGGCCAATCAAGGATGGGTGCAGATGTGGAGCAGGGGCAGTGGGGAGATGAGTTAAGGGTGCTTGTGCAGATGACCTAAAATCATCGATGAGGAAGGGTGGGCACTCTGAGGCTGAGGATGGGCTCCAGTAGGGTTTTAGGTGCAAGATGATGCGAAACAGTAGGAGCTTCCATTGTGCACTTACCTCCCCTTTGGAAATAGTTGCCTTCTCATTTGCTAAAAAGACACGAGTCTCTACTGTGACTGAAGTATGAATGTGAGGGTTGTTTATAGGATTAGTTCTCAATTCTGACTGCATATTAAAATAACCTGGGCTAGGTTTTTTAAGGCGTTGTCAGGTATCGGGAAGTTCCCTGATGAAACTGATTTTCAGTTTTGAACACCATTGGTCCACGGAAACATAACAACACATGGACATAGTTGTTGTGTGTGAATATGGTATTCAGCTAGGATGTTTCCAAATTATTAGGCATATACAATGTGTAGGGTATTCTGTTAGCCACTGAAAAGCAAAAAACAAAAAACAAAACAAAAAAACAACTTTGAAGGGATCTATCAAAAGCCAAAAGATTATCCAAAAAGCAAGCAAGATTTAAAGGAATAGTTATGTTGATCTACCCACTCACTCATCCATATATCGATGCAGGTCCTCTAAGTACCTACTACACGTTAAACACCACACTACTGCCGAAAATAGAGAAACAAAATAGCCTTTCCCTCTCGTAGCCTAGATTAAGCTGGAGAGAGGATTATAATTTCATGTTGCAAACGCAGAAATGGAGGTGGGCAGCGGGTGCTCTGTGAATACAGTCAAGGGACAGCTCACCCAGATAAGAGAGGTGGGAGAAAAGGTTGGGGAGTGTCTAGAACAGGGGAAGTTGGGGTGGATGTAGTAACATTCACCAAGCTAGGTGATGGCTCTAGATCAAGGCAGAGCTTAGGTCTCAGGACTGACTTTGCTACAGGCAGTTCCTGGTAGCCTAAGAAATATGATTAAAGTGTGAAAAGCCGAAGCAACTTAATACAGTTACACTGTAGACGTGATGTTAGGGAATGTAGCATTAATGAGTAATACTAAGTTTTTGCTTATCTACTGTATCATTTGGGATCCAGGCAGAAAACAAATGGCGCACTCAAACTTACTAATGGAAGTAAGTTTAATAGATGGATGTCTTATAAAGGATTAAGCAGGATGTAGGAAAATAACAAAGAAAAGCCCAGGGCCCTGGAAATGAGCTGTTCTTCCTCACAATATTTTGATACCAGATGTGTGGGGCTTTTTTCTCATATCAACCAATTCTCCAAAGTTTCAGAGACCAACTGGATGCCCTGCAATTCAATTCAATTCTGACACTACACAGAATTAGCACAAGGCTGCACAGGCTTAAGGGCTCAGTGTCACAAGACTGCCCTCGCTTCAGATGCCAGTTGCAAGTAGTGGGTCCTCAGGTTAACCTCACTTCTGTGTGCCTTGGCTGCAAAGCAGGGGGAGGGAGGTGTTCTTACTATCCCCCTTCCCTTTCAGACTTAACAATTTTCTAGACTACTTCACTAACCTCTGGAAAACACTGTGTTTACTATTACTGGTTTATTATAAAGGATACCATTGAATAGATGAAGAAGTGCATACAACAAGGGACAGAAGGGTCCTGACATAGGAGTTTCGGTCCCACCACCCTCCCAGTACTCTGATATGTTCTTCAGCTCTGAAGTTTTCTGAACCTTGTTGTTAGTCATTTAGGAGTTTTTATAAGGGTTTCATTATGCAGGCACGATTGATGAAATCGTTGGCCACTGGTGATTAACTCAACATCCTCCCCTTCTCCCCTTCCTGGAGATTGGGTGGTGGGGCTGAAAGTTCCAACCCTCTAATCATGCCTTGGTCTTTCTGGTGACCAGTCACATCCTGAAGCTATCTAGGGTCCCCTAGCCACCAGTCATGTCATTAGCATACAATAGACCCTTAATACTCTAGAGAGTCCATGGACTTTAGGAGCCATGTGCCAGGAACCGGGGACAAAGACTAAATATTTATTTTTTATTATATCATACCCTTTGTCATAACAGAGAGGCTGTTATCATTCCTGGGCCTAAGGAAGCAAGGGAGGGGTTGACTGTCAGAAAGCGGGGACAGAGAGAGCTCTGTAGAGTATAAAAACTACTCATTAGGAACAGTGACATTTGTTTGAGGGGTGCAGTGGCCCACAGTGACGCCAGAAGGAGAGGGCTAAGGAAATAAGCAACTGGACCTCACTCTCCTCCTTTCCTCCAATTGCCAACTAGTGTTCACCATTCAAAAGTGAGCCAGTTGAAATCATCCCTAGAGATCAACACAGAGCACAGACATAGAGCAGGTTCAAGAAATAAAGAGAGTAGGTCTAGAGGGGCAAATGGAAAGTGTCCAATCCGCTCTCTGGTGTAGTGAGATCTGTTTCATAACTCATTTGTTTTTTTTTTTCAGCAAGTATGTATTGCTGGCTTCCATACCTAACGCCCTTTAGGAGCTAGCGATGCAGTGGGAGACTCGATGAAAACTCTGCCCTGAAGGAGTGTATATTCTAGTGAGGGAAGACAGAATAAACATGTTACAAATGATAGAAATGGTAGTGATATGTATAAAGAAGAAAAATATGGAAAAGGAATCGAGAATGTGAGGCTACTGTTTTGGATAGGAAGTTACCTTTGAGAAAACACCCCAAAAAGGGGAGAGTAAGTCAGGCATAGAACCAATAAGACCACATTTGATGTTTTGATACAATTGGCTGGCAATAGCTTCCCGTAACCCATCCCTCTATTGGTATATCATGTCGTGTATCTCTACCAAGAAAGCATCGTATACAGTGGCTTTGTTCAAAACAGGTGGTTGGTAACAGTTAGTTTAGTTTATTTAACAGCTTAGGCAACTAGGACAAGGATAGAAATGCCAAAGCTTAATGTGGAAATTAGAATCTATACAGAAAAATGATAATTATAGAGCCAAGTATTATAAAATAGGTTTCACTCAGACGCTTTTCAAAATTCTGTGTTTCATACGGTTCAGTTTTTTAATAATATGGAAGAACTTGTGAGTGATAATTGACTACTCTTTACACAGCACCCCTTTTCTCATTTGTGTTTAACTAGCGTAATGGGTATTTGAGGAGCCTTATTGTAAGTTAGATGTGGTCAAACATGAATGTTCTGTGATAACTCTATATAATTTGAAAGATTCAATATAAGGCCCACTTGCTTGAAAACCAGTCCTATTTTTCAGTTTTACAATTACATTCTTTCCAATCTTTGCAAGGTATTATTTTGCAAACTGCATAAGCTATAATAGAGGTGTTTAAACTGATACTCTTCCATCGTTATCAAATTTGTTTGGAGCGACTTCAAATGAAGGTTAGATTGTTATTGGTATTCTTGGAAAGTCCCTCTTCTAAATCCCTACACGTGCCAACATTCCTACTCATGAGAATAGAGGGTGGCCTCTTTGTCACTGGAAATAACTCAGATGGGAAAATTTGTATGTCATACAACTTCCAGAATGTTTGTTTTCCTGACAAATCTCTTCATGAGTTTTCAGGAACTCTTAGAATATTGTCAAAATCATTCTAGCTCTAAGCAAACAAAGATGGCAAATTGGTTATGATTTGGCTAGCTTGTCATTTTTGTATTCTCTGTGGCCAGACAGCCACCTACTTCCCTCTGTCCAGTCACTCGTCTCATTTTTCCCTATTTGGTTTTACCCCACTCTTGCTTTAATTTGCCTCAAATTGATCACTATGATTAAAATACGTCGTGTATTTCCAGTAAGCTTGGTAGGGTTTTTTTTTTTTTTCCTGTATGTGTAATTCTGTGTATTTGAATATTGATGGGGCTGCACAAAATATTCCTATTTATCACAACTTGATAGCTCTAAGCACAATTTGGAGTTGATTTTTCATACTGTTCTCAATAACCAAATAACCTCATAGACTTCCCGGTAGCATCACTAATGGGTAGTTTGTCTTCCCTGGGAATAAAAAGCTTTCCATTTTATTTTACTTTGAAGATCACTAGCCCAGCAGGTGGATCTTTGATGTTGTTTTTTCAAGGGCAGGTGATTCCCAGAGTATTTGAGGAACGTTGGATGTTTGCTATTTGGACGAGCCAGTGCAGTGGGTGACGTGAGCCTGCAGAATGGCATTGGGCCGAGGTTGAATCTACGTGGCTCTTTCTCCACGTCTCACCCGTGTCTCCTTTTCTCAGCCACCCAGTGTAAGCATGGAGCTGTGTATGATACCTGTGGCCCGGGATGTGCCAAGACCTGTGACAACTGGAATGAGATCGGTCCATGCAATAAGCCGTGCATCGCAGGGTGCCACTGTCCCGCCAACCTGGTCCTTCACAAGGGAAGGTGCATCAAGCCAGTTCTTTGTCCTCAGCGGTGACCTTTGTTCTGCTCCTAAGACTTTGAAATCTGGTGTCTTTGACAGTGAAGTGGAAGAGCCAATGAAGGACTGCGGTATTTGTGTGCTGATTCTTCAAATACACACAGAGTATATATGTGTACATATATAGATATATAGATATATTCAGAAACATTTCATCATTTATATAAACTATAGGTGGATTATTATATGTATATTTTTTGCTATAAGACATGTATTATTTCTAGGATCCTAATCTGTAAGCCATTGGATACATTGTATAAATAAGCCAGGTGTTTGTAATTTAATAAGGCAGCATGCAGACATATTGGATGGCTTTAACATCACATACATTTGTCATTTCTAAGAAGTTTTCTAAGAGACCTAAATTGCCTGCCTGCATTAATTTTAGCTTTGAATCAAGACTTGCAGTTGAGTGGAAAATGTGTTTCTCTGGAGAAGGGCAGCGTTATCTAGGGGCATTTCATGCTTCCAAAGAAAGGAGTGTATGCCCTAGGGAGATGACTGGTGATTGGTGACAGGACCTAATGGTGCATGTAAAGCAAGGGATAGGTTGTTAGACTTTATTGGGTCATGGTCCAATATTATTTCCAAAACCGATTGGCTAGTTGCCAAGAAATATATATTTGTCAGTAGAGCATAACCAAAGAATTGAATGGTTTCTTGCCATCTTTGCATATTCCTTGAGTCACCTAATTATACATGTGTGTATGATGGATGTGTCCATTTATATGTCACAGTGAGATTAAAGAATGTTTGGGTGACATGTCAGTTTTATTGAGCATGAGCAGATATTTAGGGAAAGTTTTGCACAACATATGAAAGAATAGCCATTTCTCTGAATCTTAGAGCAATTTAGGATGGGCCAATATGATGAATTGATGTAAGCCATCTATGTTTTGTGACTATTCCATGTGTAAAATGAAAATCATTAATTATTTCTAGAGAATTCCTAGCCCAGTGCTATTTGGTGACTGTTAATACGTCATGATTCTACAAAAAGAAAGCCTTTTCTGACCAGTTGATTGAATATCAGTCCAAACAAAGACTGGTCTCTGTATTTGCTCTAATTTACTGGTAGTTTACTACTGGTCATCAGATGAATTTCCTGACTTTTTTTTCAGTTGAATAAATGAAAATGTCAACAAAACAAAACCCACTAATGTTTCATTTCAAGATACTATGTTCCACAGTGTAGTCAATAAAGGGCTCAATATTTAAAACAATGCATTTTCTCTTTCAAGATGTGCTGTGTTATATTTTATAAGTAAGCTATATCAACTTCAAATTGGCCAATTTTTAACATCTTTATTTAGATATAGTAGACAATAGGAAACCCCCCAATTTTTTTATGTATATATTTTCATCTTTTCTCCCCTCAGCAAGTCTCCCTTAAAATTTCTTACAGGGCTGTTTTAGTGGTCACAAACTCCTTTAATTTTTGTTTGTCTGGGAAACTTTTTATCTCTCCTTCAATTTTGAATGACAGCCTTGCTGGATAAAGAATTCTTGGCTGCATACTTTTCTGATTCAGCACACTGAATATATCCTGCCACTCCTTTCTGGCCTGCCAAGTTTCTGTGGATAGGTCTGCTGCAAACCTGATCTGTCTTCCCTTGTATGTTAGGGACTTTTACCCTTGCTGCTTTCAGAATTCTCTTCTTGCCTGAGTATTTTGTGAATTTGACTATGATATGCCTTGTTGATGGTCAGTTTTTGTTGAATCTAATGGGGGTCCTCTGTGCTTCCTGGATTTTGATGTCTGTGTCTTTCCCCAGGTTAGAAAAGTTTTCTGCTATGATTTGCTCACATAACCCTTCTACCCCTATTTCTCTCTCTTCCTCTTCTGGGACCTCTATGATTCTGATATTGTTCCTTTTTAATGAGTCACTGATTTCTCTAATTCTTAAATCATGCTCTTTTGCCTTAATCTCCCTCTTTTTTTCTGCTTCGGTATTCTCTGTAAGTTTGTCCTCTATATCGCTGATTCTCTGTTCTGCCTCGTCCATCCTTGCCACCACTGTGTCCATCCATGATTGCAGCTCAGTTCTAGCATTTTTAATTTCATTCTGGCTATTTTTTACTTCTTTTATCTCTGCAGAAAGGGATTCTAATCTATTTTCGACTCCAGCTAGTATCCTTATTATCGTGATTCTAAATTCTGGTTCAGACATCTTGCTTGCATCTGTGTTGGTTAAATCCCTGGCTGTCATTTCTTCGTGCTCTTTGTTTTGGGGTGAATTCCTTCGTTTTGTCATTTTGAAGGGAGAAAAGGAATTAATGAGGTAGAAAAATTGAAATTAAAATAAATTAAAATGAAAATATTAAAATGAAAAATGAAACACACACACACACAAATCGAATAGATGATGCTAGATCCTATGTGTGTTTTGGTCTGGGTATTGAAAGTGGTTTGACAGATTAGAGAAAAAAAGTGGGGGGGGGAGGAAATCATTTGAGAATTTGAAAAAATGAACTCACTGAAGTAGACTAAAATGAGAT